TTTTTTTTTTTTTTTTTTTTTTTTTTTCTCTCTTCCCCCCCCCCCGCAGGTTTTTGCAGTTCAGTTGGGTTTGTTCTAGAAGAATTCATATAGCAGCATGTGGCGGCTCCCCTTTGCTTGCACACTCAAGTAGATCCTTTACACAATACTCATGATCAGTGCACGATGGGAACAAGACATTTCACATTGATCTCATGAACAGTAGCGGTGATTCCCGTCACCCGGACCCGCTCGGGAATTCGAGTCTCTTCAAAGAAAATAAATAAAGGAGGGGGTGGGGGGGACGGGGGGGAGATGGGGGTGGGGGGTCCCCGGGCCGTGCCCGCGTCTCTGTCCCGGTGAGTCCCGACCGGGCCGGTTCAGCCGCCTCCGCTGGAGCCTTTAGAGGAATTTATTTTCCTTTTTTTTTTTTTTCCTTTTTTTTTTTTCCTCCTTTCCCTCTCTACCTGGGCTCTGTCTCGGTGATGCGGTGACCGGCCCCGCGGAGCCCCGCTCCGCTCCCGGGAGGTTGTGGTGGGGGGTTCTTTTCCCCCTATCCATCCACGATGTGCTGGATCGATCCGGCGGCGGAGCCGCAGCATCCCCGGGCCCGCAGCGCGGGGAGGGGGCGGCGGCTGGAAAAGCGGCGGCGCAGGGGCGCGAACCGGGGGTCTGCGCTCCGGTCCGAACCCCCCGTGATCCCCCCCCCCAGGGTGGGTGGGGGAGCGGCGGCACCTCCCGCCCTTCCCCGCCGGGCAAATCCTCCCGGGAAGCGGCTCCGGGCCGGGCGGGCGCGGCGTGTCCGGGGGGCGCGGGGGGCGGCGGGCGCTCACCGGTCGAGGCCGATGAGCAGCCGGCCCTTCTCCTCGGAGCCGCTCTCCTTCTTGAGGTCGGCGAAGACCTGGGTGAAGTAGTGCGGGTCGGCGTTGACCTGCAGCATCTTGGGGCTCATGAGGTCGATGATGGAGAGGCAGCGGTCCCAGAAGGCCTCCTTACAGCTCTCCACCAGGAAGGGCTTCAGCGGGTAGGAGATCTCGTTGCCCATGTAGGAGTAGGAGAGGTACAGGCAGGTGAGCAGCACTGCCTGCAGTTCGTGGTCGGTGGCCACCTCGGCCGAGATGACGTCCCGGCACAGCATGTAGAGGAAGACCACGTTGGCGGGCGTGATGAAGCCCTGGTCCTGCCAGCCCTGCAGCAGCAGCGAGCGGTCCACGGAGCGCAGCCAGAGCACGGGGTCGGTGGGCGAGAGGTGCTTCAGGCGGTAGCAGCGGCGGCACAGGAACTCGCCGAGGCAGCGCAGCAGCTCGCTGGTGCTCGCCTGCACCACGACCCTGCGCGGGGTGGCGGCGGCGGCGGCGGGCGCGGCCGGGGGCACCTTCTGCGCCGAGGCGAGGGCGGCGGCGGCGGCGGCGGGGGGCGGCGGGGGGGCGAAGGTGGCGAGGTTGGCGCAGGAGAGCGATTTCTTCAGGTTCTCGTTGTTGAGGTGGGTCACGTTGCTCTGGTAGCCGCCGTTGGGCTGCACCTTCTTGGAGCTCTTCTTCTTGGCGGAGACGGCGGCGATGCGCTTCCAGGGCAGCACCGAGATCAGCGAGTGCCGCTTCAGGCCCTTCTCCTTCGCGTTCTTGCTGTTCTGCACCGCCGTGTAGTGCCCCACCGTGGCCGCCCCCTCCTCGAACAGCGGGGCCTTCCGGTAGCTCGGCGACAGCGACAGCACCGTGCCCATGGCGCCGGCCGCCCCGGCGGGGCCCCCGCCGCCGCCGCCCGCCCGCCCGCGGCCCCCGCGGCCCCCGGCCCCGCGGCCCCGGCCCCGGCCCGGCCCGGCCGGCCCCGCTCTCGCTGCTCCTCCGCCGCCGCCGCCGCCGCCGCCGCCGCCGCCGCCGCTCAGCGCCGCGCCCGGACCCGCCCCGCGCCGCGCGCGCTCCCGCCGGCGCAGTGCGCGCGCCCGCCGCCTCCGCCGCCCCGCCCCGCCCCGCGCCGCCACGTGCGCCCGCCGCGGCGACGGGGGGAGGCCACGCCCCCAGCCTGACCACGAAAGGAAGAGACCCCGCCCCTGCCCGCCCGGGCCACGCCCATCTTCGCATCCTTACCAGTGGTTGGTCACGCCCCCATGATCCTAGGCCACGCCCACGCAGCGCTGACCACGCCTCCCCATGTCAAGCAATGGGATTGGTCACGCCCCTCTCGGCCGAGGCCGAGCCCCTGATATTCCCCATATGGTTTGGCCACGCCCCCATGGCACAAGGCCACGCCCACACCGCGCACACCTCGCTTCTCTGAATGACGGAGGCCCCGCCCCCCCTCGTCCCAGCCCCGCCCCCCGGGCGGCCCCGGGTTGGGGTCTCGGTGATCGCGGACCCCCCCCCCGGTCCCGCGGGCAGGGACCGGGCACGGCCCGGGGGGGAGAGAATAGAATAACAACGGAAATTATTTAAGAAAAAAAATCTCAAAATTAGGATTTAAAACCCTGCTCTGCCGGCACCCGCACCCCGCACTCCAGGCCCGCGCCCTGGACCCGCACCCCGGTGATGCCTCCCCCAGCTCGGGGCCGGGGGTCACCGCTCGCCCCGAAGGCCCCGGGACACGTCCCTGCCCGGTACCGCGTTGTGAGGCCGGGCGGGTTTTGGGGGAACGCTCTGCCCGGCCCCGCTTGGAGCCGCCGCCACCGCCCCCCCCCCCCATCGCAGGGACCGCGACCGGGATCCCCCTTCCCGCAGGGACCGGAGCGGCGGCGGCTCCGGGAGCCACCACCGGGCTCGGCACGACCTGCAGCGACACTCAGAGGCGGCTCCGGGGCCCAGCTCCGGGCACGGGGACCCTCCGGACCGGGCAGAGGGACGGGGACAAGTCGGGCTCGTTCCTGCGCCCGCCAGGGCTTCGCTGATGACCCAAACTCATTTATTTACGCCCCGCCCCAGAGCTGCGGCTGCCGAGCCCCCTCCCACAGCACGGGAACGTCCGAAAAAGACCCCAAAATCTCCCGTGAGGACAGACCTGGCCCAGAGCACCCAAAAACCTGCCCGTCCTTCAAAGGGCATCCAGCGCCCCGTGGGAGCTGCTTTTTAAGGGATGGCCAGGACTCGGCACATCCTCCTCTCAGGCAGCTCTGGAGGGTTTGCTGCATCACGAGCACAGTGCAGGCCCAGCCTGGGCACTGCTGTCACTGAGGATTCCCTTTGTCCATTAAAAACATCCCCTGGATCTGAGCAGCACAGAAGGCCCTGGTGTGACAGCAACACCCTGATTTTATTTTCAGCTTTGTTAATTTTAAGCCAAAAAGGGTTTAACAATGGGATCTACCCATTGTTTGAGGTTGTTTCTGGCCCTCATTTTACTACACTTGGAGGCACCTGGGAAAACCCTGGCACAGGTTGCCCAGAGAAGCTGTGGCTGCCCCTGGATCCCTGGGAGTGTCCAAGGCCAGGTTGGAGCAACCTGGGCTGCTGGAAGGTGTCCCTGCCCATGGCAGGGGGTGGCACTGGATGGGCTTCGAGATCCCTTCCAACCCAAACCATTCTGGGATTCTGTGACTTCAAAGCTATCCCCACCTTTCTCCATCCCAGCTGTGCCTGTGCCTGTCCACCAGCTCCAGCTCTACTTCCACGAATGAATTTCCCTTCCTCACCCACAATTTGGAACATAAATCAGCAAATCCCATCCACAGGGATGCATCCCCAGGGAAAACACTTCAGTGGCATTATGGTGAACTGGCCAGAGCTGCTTTGGGGAAGTATTTTATGAGTTACTTGGAGCTGAAAAATAGAACTACTAAAATTGAACTGCACTTCCCTGCAGCCCGAGCCCTGAGTAAGAGCAGAGTGAAATCCTTCACCTTTTCCTGCCTCTCAGGGCAGGTTTCTTCCCTGCACCACCTGGTGCAGGGACACCATCTGGTGTCCCAGATGTGCGAGTTTCAGATGTGGAAATTCGAGACATCGCATCAATGACACCCTAAAAACCCTCCCCAGCCTGAAGAGCAATCCTGGCCTGGCCCTGCAGTGTGAGACTCTAATATGGCATCAGGGCACTCTCAGGAAGCGCTGGATGACCCAGAGGTCAGATCTTACTAATTTTTAATACTAATAATGGAATGGTTTGGATTGGAAGGGACCTCAAAGCCCATCCAGTGCCACCCCCTGCCATGGGCAGGGACACCTTCCACCAGCCCAGGTTGCTCCAAGCCCCGTCCAACCTGGCCTTGGACACTTCCAGGGATCCAGGGGCAGCCACAGCTTCTCTGGGAAACCTATGCCAGGGCCTGCCCACCCTCACAGTCAACAACTCCTTCCCAATATCCCATCTAACCCTGCCCTCTGGCAGTGGGAAGCCATTCCCCCTTGTCCTGCTAGTATAAAAGAATCCCTCTCCCCTCTTTTCATAAGCCCTCAATGATTATTATATTATACTGAATTCAATTATTATTATACTTAACTCAGTAAACTCAGAGTTGTGCCAGGAACAGGTCACAACCCACAAATCTTTAGTGATGCTGTTTCCAACCCATTTGGTGTCTCCAAATATCAACCCCACTGATGCTCTGGTGAGGGGATGATCCCACCCTGCCCCCAACGTGCCCAGGATGTGCCTTGGAGGCTGAAAACAGGAGACAGAGGCTTTTGAAAAAAAAATTCTTTATTGGAACTCATCTGAACATCAGATATACCTGGTGTTGGTTAGCAAGAACCGTTTGTACATTTGATATTGATGGTGCCAAAAACCCAAACAGCGACTGACTGGAGGAGATGGAAATTAAGAATAATAAAATAAAATAAAATATAAGGTCAGAGAGGTCAAAATGTGAACAGAAAAGGGGAAAAATCAGCCAGTCTAAGAGTCAGCGTGAAGGCAGAGTATTTCCTGATAAAACAGAATCCTTTTACAAAATATAAATTTTGTAAGAAAAACGTGGAGAGGGAAAAAGAGACAGAGGGGAAAGGAGAAATAAAGATGAGCAGGACAGAGATGCAGAAGCTTACACTGCCCAAATGGCATTAAAACCTACTGGAAACCTCACCAGAAAATGGAACATGCTGGAACACACCGTGCTCCACCCCCCACATGACTCTGGGACTAAGGAGGAAGCTCCCAGCGAGCTGCACTGGGCTATTCCAGAGGGCCAAGCTGTCCCACATCAGAAGGGCAACAGAAATCAAACACTGATGCAGCAGAGTAAATATGGACAGTCAGGGTCACCTGCTCTTCCTACCGGTGCAGGTGGGGAGGGAGAAAACATTTAAAACCTAGTCTATCTGCAAACAAGAGCATGCAAAGTCAGGCTCGGGGGAACCTGCGCCGGCCCCTCCGCCCAGAGCGGGGCTGGGACCCCGACAGCTCCGTCCTGCAGGGAAACCTCCACGGAGCTGCTTCCCAGGGCTGGGGCGGAGGCCTTTGAGGCTTGAAAAATAAACCAGCAGTCTGTACATTTTGGGTTGGTTTGGTTCAGTACAAATGGAATCGAGTTGGCTGCTCGTGCTCCACCGGCACAGCTCCGGTTTCAGGGAGGAGAGGAGGAAACAAACTGGATGTGGGCACCTACTGGTAACAAAACGCTGTCCCTGCTGAACTCTGCCGTCCCTCAGGAAGTGGAAAGCACATGTTTAGGTAGTGTAAGCCTTTTTCCTTTTATTTAGAATACCCTCTTTGTTTAAACAATATTTCCCCCCCACCCCGCCCCAAGATACAAAGTTCGGCCAGTAAAGATTACATGGAAACTGGAACACGCATCGTCTGGAATACAAGATGCACCGGATGAGGAAGTTTAAAAACTTTCCCAGCGAAAAGTAGAACAAAGAAGAAAGAAAGAGAACAAAAAAAAAAAAAAAAAAAAAAAAAAAAAAAAAAAAAAAAAAAAAAAAAAAAAAAAAAAAAAAAAAAAAAAAAAAAAAAAAAAAAAAAAAAAAAAAAAAAAAAAAAAAAAAAAAAA